GGGCTAGCTGGCCGTAGGTGTGGCTGGATAAGCTGTAAGGCTGCAGGTGGGCTTGGGGTGCAATCTTTTTGGGGTGGGTGGATGGATGGGTAGAGCCATGGGTGCAGATGGGTGGGCTGTAGGACGCGGGCATGGGCAGATAAGCTGTTGGGTTGTAGATGGGCTGGGCTGTAAGGGGCACAGCACAGGTGTGGTTGGACAGGTCGAGCTGTAGGCTGGCTGGCTGTAGCCTGACAAACACATAGATCAGAAGATCATTCTCTCTTCGCTGGAGCTGTCTGTGCCCAGCAGTGACCTCTCCTCTCCAAGATACTCTTCGGTTGCCCCAGGGCACATCTGACCAGTCGCACCCTCCTCCCTTCGTGGTATCTCCAGCTGTTCAGCCCTGCTCCCAGCTCCCTGCCCCACCGAGCCGCCTCCATGGAGCTTTGCCGTGCCCGGCACTGCCCGGCAGGCATTGGGGATGCACATCCCCTGGGCTCTCCCCTATGCATCTCCATCCCCATCCCCATCCCTCCTGCCCCATCCCCATGCTCCGGCTGCTCGCCTGCTCCCGCTGCTCCAGGCTGATGTCTGGGGGCTCGTCATCGTGCAGCTCCCGCTTGGGCCGGATGAAGGCGGGTGGTGTGAACCTGTTGGCTCGGTCAAACTCCTCCGGCTCCACACCCCCGCCCTCCCGCAGCCGTTCCCAGGCTGCCTTGCTGGCGCTGCTCTCCTCCGGCTGGGAAGGTCCTGCCAACACCTCTTCCTCTCCCTCCTGCACCGCCTGCTCCAGGGTCCCCCGGCGTGTGCCGCCCGCCTCTGCCTGTCGCCGTGTCGATGGCTGCTCCCGCAGCCCGTCCTTAAAGGCGGACACGGCCAGGCTAACCTTCTGCACCTTCTCCACCGTCTGACGTCTGGACATCAGCACCCCCATGGCTCTGTGGGGTGAGGAAGGTCTCAGTGCTAAGGCCTCAGGGTGCAATGATGCTCTCCACCCCTGCCCCATGTCCCTTGCCCCAAAATGGTGTCCCAGTGACTTTCCCCAGCCGCACAGGGACCAGGTCAGGGCAGGAAGGAACAAGGGCTCCTTGGCAAGACAGTGCTGGGGTCATCCATGTTGGCCATGGGGAGATGGACGCAAAGCCTTGTGGAGATCTGGCCATGGAAGGTCTGAGTGTTGATGGAGGAGCGGGACAGCAAGCAGAGATCTGATTTGAGGGCACCTTGCCTCGCCCATCTTTGCTCTGCAGATTCTGGCTTAATAGGAAGCACATCCAGGCCCTTCCCATGCCAGTCCAGTAAACCCTAGAGGCATTGGGACCAGCTGTAACGCTGCTCCTTGCATACATCCCATTCTGCCTTGGCAAAAGCCTCTTTGGCCAGCCAAGGGTGAGAGGTGTCCGCCTAGCAACTCTGCCCAGGGCTGGGGCATAGCAGAGCTGGTGCTGTATCTCTTACCTTCCTTAAATTTCAGCTCACCCCCCCAGTCCCTCTTGGGCTCACATGCTGTGTGTATGAGTGTGTTGTGTTGCTGCCCTCATCACCGGGCATCCTGCATCCTGCAAGGAGCCATGCAGAGAGGTTGGGCCAGCCATGGGAGGTCTGCAAGGATGCAGGAGGGAAGGGGAGCAGTGCGTGGGTCTGGGGTGCATGGGTCTCGAGGGTTTAGATGCAGGATCAAGGGAAGATCATCTTAGGGTAAACCAGAGAGGGCAACAGCAGCAGCAGTAGCAGGTCGAGCTCTGTGTCAATGGAAGCTGGCTTGGAGGAGGGTGAGCTGAGGCTGGGAAAAGGCAGGATTTGGTCTCCAGTGGCGTGGAGCACAGCATCACCCCATGTGGGTCCCAACACTGCCTTCCTGCCCCACTGCAGCTGTGTTATGGAAGATGCTGCAGCCAAGAGGAGCTCCCAGCTGGTGCCCAGCGATCCGCAGGCAGCACTCGCCGCCTGTGCAAGCAGGGGGACATTGGAGCAGCCATCTTCCGCTCTGCCAGCCTCGGCAGGGAAGTCCCCAGGTAGCGGGATAATTAGCAGCACGCGCGCGCACGCCGGGACGTCGCAGCTGCGGGAGGACACAGCGCTGCGGGCACTGCTGTGGCAGGGAGCCTGGGCAGGGTAATCACAGCTGCCCCGC